AACAAGTCATCACCTTTGTAGAGCTTATGTTATACGTAGTGGGAGAAACAGACGAGAAATAAATAAGTGAAATACTTGGTGTGTTGCATGATTGTAAGTGCTCTAGAGAAATATAATAAAATACTGTTGGGTGGTGGATTTTGCAATTTATGCTGGTCAGGAAAGGCCTCACTGAGAAGATGACATTTTAGCAGAGACCTGAAGTGGGTGAGGGAGGGTGCCATGGAGAAGTCTGGGGGACATCTTCTGAGGTGAGACTTTGCCAGTGTCTTTAGGGAAGACGAAGAATCAGGGCGGATGGAGAAGAGTAAGCAGGGGGGAGACCAGCAGCCTTGCTCATGTAGGACAGACAATTGTGTAGAGTTTGGCCTTTACTCTGAGTGGGACAGGAAGCCTTGGGAAGATTCTGAGTAGATGTGTGACATGGTGTGATTTTGTTTTAGTGACATCACTCTGCATGCTGTGTTGAGCCTGTATGTGGGCAAGAGTGGAAACAGGGAGGTCAGTTAGGAGGCTATGGTGTTATCCCTGGTGCCAGATGCTGGTGATTTGATAGGGGTGGGTGTAGTGAAGGTATTGAGGAGTCATTGGGTTCTCGATATACTTTGAAGGTATAGTCAGTAGAGTTTTCTGGTGGGTTGGGATGTGGAATGTGTGTATGAGAGAAGAATCAAAGATGATTCTAGGATTTGGCCTGTGAAGTTGTGAAGATGGAGTTGTCATTAACTGAGATGGGGAAGAAGACCAGGGACTCACTTTTGAACATGTCAAATTTGAGAAGCTTATTAGCTCTCCAGATGGAGATGTTGAGTAGGAAGCTGGATATGTGAGTTTGGAGTTCAGAAGAGAGGCCCAAGCTATAAATTGGGGAATTCTCAATGTATAGATGGTATTTAAAGCTGTGAGCCTTGGTGAGATCGTTGAGGCAGCGAGGGAGCGTTGCCACAGAAGAGAAGTCCAGGGACTAAGCTCTGGGTATGCCAACATTTAAAGGTCAAAAAGTGAGGAAAAATGGAAACTAAAGCTAGAGAGGTAGGAGGAAAGTGTGAAGACTTGGAGGCCAAGTGAAGTGTTTCAAGGAAGAGAAAGTATGAATTATGCGAAATGCTGGTGGTCGTTCAAGAAAGATGAGGATTAGGACTTGACATTGGATTTGGCAGTGGGGAGGTCATTGATGACCTTGTCAAGCAGTTTTGTGACAAGCAGAACACTTTTCTGTAGTCTGTACATAAGGATGAGGAAGATAATGTTACAAATGAGGACGTTGTGAATTGGAAAGATGTTACATATTTCCTCAAGATTTACAGCAGTAAATGGGGGAGCTGCAATCTTCCCTAGTCAGTGTCTCTGAAATCTTCACAGTTACCCAGCATACCTTACTGATCCCAGAATTTTGTGACACTTCAACTTGCAGTTTGGGAAAGCATGTTTGTTTCTTCTCCTGGGTAGTTTAATTTATGAGTAGCTTCCTTTTAGCTTTATCAGTAACTGCTGAAACTGAGGCAGGCTGGTGATGGATAGAGTATAAGTGGAAGAGTTCAGACATCCTAATGGCAACTGCAGAAATTTAAAACATGATTCGTATGCTTCAAAATCTATGAGTCATTTTTAAAGTTGTGATTTATTTTTGACCAGATAGCTCTACAGTTCTTCAAAGCGTGACTCTCATGTGCTCAGGGCTGTTGTAGCAATAAGAAGTAAGTGTAGTCTGCTGTTGCCATCTGCTCATTCCACATGTCCTTTTGAAATTGAATACCGGAACTTCCTTTAACAAAGCAGTCCTAAAGTGTCAAATTCATTGGGAGCAGATTTCTTGCCATTCAAATAAGAAAACATAATCTTGTCAACTTAGTGACAAGCTTAGTATTCAGAAGGTTATGTCCCTCACAGCTCTTTAATTCCTGAAACCCTTTGTTCTGAGGAAGCAGCTCAGTAATTTCTTCAGCACATTTTATGACCTGGCTATCTCAATGCATTATCATAAATAGTCTTCATTTTCTGGTTCAGTTCTTTTCAAGTCTTCAGTAAATTGGTAGCAAAAGTGCAAGCACAAAGAAAATTCATAATCTTAATGATCACTTCCTTCTTCACATCATGCTGTGAATTTGACTTGAACGTGCTCTTTTGACAAATGATGTAGGAGTGTTCTCTGAGAATTTGAATAGCTTTAAAAAATTTCTTTCGTTGCAACTGTGCTAAGTACCTTTAGCTATGTAGTGTGTAGTCCCTGCTTCTCCTATTCCCCATTGGTAGGTGCGTAGGGTAGGCTTACTCTTGCTCGTGTGTGCCCATTCTCATGAGAGAGAATTTGAGTTTGTTTTGGTCTGCAAGTCTCAGAGGGCCTGCCTGTGGCATAGCAAGTACACAGACTGAGATGATATCAACTGTCCTGTGAAAATACCTGTAACTCTTGCACATTTATAATCCTGTTTCATCTTCATTCCTTCCAATACCTCTTACCCCCTATTTCCCTCTACCCTCCCCACTTGCCACTGAGCATCATATTATTTTATCCATAAATACTACAGTTCTACTTACCTTTGAGTAGTGTGTTTTAGTAAAATCTTAATTAACCAGATTGACTGGAGAATGAAGTTTACTGGTAAATGGAATTTTGTGGTAAATGAAGACGATATAGAATAGTGAAGAATATTTATTTCATTAGGAATCAGGAGATCTGTATATGTCCCTGAGCTCTGAGATGAGTCTGTGATGTGATCTGGAGAGAGTTGCTAATGGACCTAAATATCCACCGAAATGAAAATTTATAAGATGGTAATGAACTATACTTCTCTCCATTTCTGGATTAAGAAGCCAGATTATTTGTTGTCAATTACAAAAGCCTTTCTTTTACATCTGCTTAAATATAAAAAACAAAAGCAAAACAGCAGGTGGTAGACCCATATTTTATCAACTTTTCTGTCGACTGGGTTTACTGATAGAGGCAAAGGGTGACTGCCTTTTTGCCGATCATGTGGAACACTTTTTGTTTGAGTTCTCTGGTGCCATTTTATGAAAATATTTTCTGAGTTATAATTTCTCTGAGACCAGATTATGCCTTTGTTCCTCTTTTGCCTCATTTGTGTTCTTACTTTTCTTCCTCTCTCCCCTCATGCTTGCTTCCTCTCTCTTTCCTTATCACTCTGCTTGGAAAGTAAGAGTCATTTATGTCTTTTTCTTGCCTCTGGCCTTACATAGTTCATCAAACCCCATGATTTATTGTTCTTCTTCATAATCTCTTATATTCTCTTTTTCTTTCAAAACTCTTATCCTTTTAGCTAAGCTTCTTTTCGCTGTGCACCCAAGCTTATTGCAGTAGCGTCATATTTGGTTTTCCTGTCTGCAGTGTTTTCTTTATGTTAATCCAAACTTTATACTATCTCAAATAATTTGAGCATTTTGCTTTTCTGCTTAGATATCTACTTATGGGCCCATTAAGTCTCTTTAGATTCTGGTCCCCACTCAAGACCAATATGAAACCTTGTAGTATGTTCTCCCTTCTCAAAACCCATGGTTGGAAATTCTGGTTAAGTGTAGAATAATTTATCTCACGTATTAGAATCCATATTTTTTGATGACTTTACTGGTTATCAGTATCAGAATACTAGTGGCTTCCTTTATGTAGAGGGCTTTGAGTATTTCAAAATACTTTTTGTTTTCTTTTGTCCTCAGAATACTTTTGTATAAAACATGTATCAAAATCCATGTTGCATCTCTATCTACTTGGTGTTTTGCACGCCAAGTCCTATGTACTGTATCTCTAACACAGCTCTCATATTCATCTTATTATTACTATTCTCACCATTAATACCTTTCATCATATGTTTATTAAAGACATCCTATGTGGCAGACACTATCCTAAGCATCATATGGTGGTGAATACATAGATGTCGTTCTTGTTCTTAGGGAGCTTGAAGAGTAGTAGAAGACAGCTATTAAACAAAGAAGCCCAGAAATAAGTAATGAGAGATTCTGATAAATTTAGTCCCCATCATCTCTTACTGGCAGTACTGTGGTAGCCCTGTTGATCTTCATATCAAGAGTTTTATTCCTCTCCATTGTATTGCAGTGAGAGTGCTCTTTCTGAAAAGCAAATTCAGGTTTAAAACACTTAGCCTGTTTCCCATTGCTGTCAGGTTAAACTCCAAATTCCTTAAGGTGGCTTACCTAGTCCTTTGGATTTGGTGCCTGTTGACCTGTTGGTTTTTGTCTCATCATTCTGCCTTTGTGCTCTGAATGCTAGTCCTACTATTTTCATTGTCCAGAAAGAATTGAGATCTCTTACCTCTGGGACTTAGAACATGTGGTTCCCTGAGCCTCTTGCTTGGTGAATTCCTTCCTACTCATTCTCACTCATTTCTTCCAAGAATCCTTCCTGGATTCATTGAAGTCTAGGTTAGGATATCCTTCTTTTGTGTTACCATAGCTCTTGCGATTTCTCCTGTATCTCACCTTGTGGTAGTTGTTCGCATGTGTGTAAGCCTCACTGGATAGTTGAATTGTGTCTGTTTTATCTCCTGTTGTAATACCTTGGTATAGGCATAAAATGGAAACTTGGTAAATGCTGCTCCAAGATGTATACTAATTATTGTTATTATGAGGTCAGAATTTAATTCAAAAGCTGTTTTTTAGTACTAGGGTGGGATTTTGCAATATTATTTCTAATTAAGTCATACAAAGCTGAATTGTCGTATTTGCAGATAATAGAATTGTGTTTGACAGGCATATACAGTAGTACTTTTATATTGTGGCAGAAAGTCAATGAAAGATATTAACCTGTTGAAAAGTCCAACTTTATTAAATATTAAGTGACAGTGCTGGAAGAAACCAGTAGATGTTGAAGAAGAATGTGAAGTAACAAAATCTGTGTGTTTTTTAAAAATTAATATTTACTGGGTATCTGCCATGTGCTCGGTGTTTTACTAGTTGCATTATATATAGGGTTTCTCTTAATCCTTACGACTGCTTTTTGAAAGAAGGGTGTTGTCCATCTCTTCCAGATGGGGAAGCTGAGGCCCAGAGGGGTAATTTTTTCAAGATCACATAGAAGAGCCCGGATTTGAATACAGTTCTTCTGATTGTAAGTTCAGTCTTCTTTCAATTGTTGTTGTTGCTTTTGACTGAAGTACGGTTTTATTTCTGTATAAAACTGAGAAATATGTGAAATTGAGAAATATATACAATTAAAGTAACCAAAAGAGGTGACTTAATTTTTATTTCTAAGACCTCTGCTCTTTGTGATTTGATTGCTTTTACTTAGAAATGATTCAAAATTAATTTTACAAGTAATTCTTGATGAGAAAACTAAGGCTCAGAAATGAGGTATATGATCAAAGACTGCACGATTAATGGCAAAGTGAGAAGTGGAATCTAGAACTCCTGATGTTTGACTCTGAAGCTTTATCATTTAAAAATCTTTATTTAGTAAACAATCTCTAAATGTAATTTTAGGCCAGTTTGTTATAAACATAAATGAAAATTGAATGTTCCTAGTATTCTTCTGTTTTTGGAAGAATTTAGTCTTAGAGCATGTCTATTTATAACTCTAAAACTTGAAAGCTAGTATTTGCCTTTAATGTTTCAGTTGAAAAGTGTGAATATATTATACACAGTATTTTGGAGAGTTGGTAAGATAATTTTCTTCAGAGTTTCTATTAAAGCTAATACTATATCAGATTATTTGTTCCATTAAAGAATTTTTCTTAAAGTTAGTACTGTAGCAGATTAATTATTTGTTCAATCACATTTGCTTTGGGCCTTTTCCATAAAAATATGAATATTTTTTATCCCAGTGAATCATGTTCTAGGACTTTTCCATTTAATATGAAGCTTTTTTGGAACGTATTTAATTTCCTTTATACAATAGGTGATAAAGTTGCAAACACAGAATGGCTTATTAGCTGATAAATAGAATAGTTGAATCATGATGGTCGGAAAACTGCACGCTCTAGATTTACATTGCGTTTTATTCCTCTTAAAAATTCCTTTGTAGTGTCAATTTAGTGTGTCTTGGCTTACCTGTTATTCTGTTTAAAGAAATCTGAACTTTGGGGCCAGCCTGGTGGCATAGTGGTTAAGTTTGTGCACTCCACTTTGGAGGTCCAGTATTCACAGGTTGGGATCCCAGGTGTGAACATATGCACCCCTCATCAGGCCATGCTGTGGCAGCATCCCACATACAAAATAGAGGAAGACTGGCACAGATGTTAGCTCAGCTACAATCTTCCTCAAGCTAAAAGAGGAAGATTGGCAACAGGTGTTAGCTCAGGGCCAATCTTCCTCACAAAACAAACAAACAAACAAATCTGAACTTAGATTCCTGTGTCTTACCTAATTAAATGCTTAGGTCCTGGCTAATTTGCCCATTTCTTTGTTTTAACCAGTCCTTTAGAACTAGGTTTACTTGGTTACCGATTCAGTGGTAGTCTCAATTAATCCTTCTTAGAGGTATTTATGATACACTAGTCTGTCATCATAAGCTATGTTACCCTTTATTTTACATTATTTCATTAGTGCTTTTGGTGGCTTTTCTAATGTTTCACTTTTATTTTATTAGAAGATATTAGAAAAAAATGTTATGAGGCATTTACATTTTTGATGGACTGAGATTATAATTTTTTCCTCTATATGTTTCTTTGTATTAAGAATGTTCACACAGTTTCCTCATATAATGAACTAAAGTTTCCTCATTCTATTCTTTTCATTCTTTAAATTTATCTAAGTTGTATGTTCACATGGTGTGTAGAGTCAAATAGATATAGAAAACTTTTTTACACAAAAATTCATGAAGAGAGAAAAAAATATGTTGAAAGCCTAAAGGCTATGGCATAATGATTGAGGATTATGTGGAGTTTTGGGTAATTTGCTGAACATCCATTGGTTTGATTATAGATGACAAGTGCTGTGGAAGGCAGAGGCTGTCTATTTTTGTTTACAGTAAATGAATTAGTCTCTAAAATGGCCTGGGTTATTAAATAAATACCAGTGACTGAATTAGAGAAAGCATCTTATAGCATCTTATTTACTTATAATAAAGATTTCTTCAGTAGATGTTCAAGAAATTCCTATTACGTAGTTATTATACCATAACCTGATTTCTGGGTTTCAAAGAATTAATGCTTGTTGAAATATGTTTAGGTCAAAACAAGGTACTAAAAGTAATATGTCTTGTCTTTGATTCAGAAATTAGAGTTAGGGTCTTATAGTCTCTCAAATTGTCATGAATGGAATGTGTTTACTGTTTGTGCTAAAGGGGATTGGTAAGCTCTTAAGAGAAATTAATACTATTTATGATCCAAGAGTAATTTGTTTCAGTGGAGAACATGTTAGTATACCCTAGCAAAGTTAGAATACTTGTAGTTTTTCAAAATTAAAAGTGTATTCATACGTTATTAGGTCCATGTCCAGTATAGTATATATGGCATTAAATTACTTATACCTCACAGTGTTTCTTCCTCCTTGTTTGTGAGTAGGTATGTTAGCATTTTTTTTTTTTTTTTTTGCTGAGGAATATTCGCCCTGAACTAACATCTGCTGCCAATCATCCTCTTTTTGTATGTGGGCCGCTGCCACAGCATGGCCACTGACAGATGAGTGGTGTAGCTCTGTCAGGAACTGAACCCAGGCTGCCAAAGTAGAGTTGAACTTAACCACTAGACTACTGGGACTGGCCAGGTATGTTAACTTTTTAAAATTTTTGCTGAGGAAGATTTACCCTAAGCTAATATCTGTTGCCACTCTTCCTCTTTTTGCTGAGGAATAGTCAGCCTGAGCTAACATCTGTGCCAGTCTTCCTCTATTTTATATGTGGATGGATTCACACCATGGCTGACGAGTGCTATAGGTCTGCATCTAGGAACTGAACCTGGGCTGCCAAAGCAGAGTGCGCCAAACTTAACCACTAGGCCACACAGCCAGCTCCAGCATTTTAAGGAGGGAATAAATTTTATGTTTTCTAGTAGAAAAGTGTTGTCTCAGAAAAGTGACAGGAAAAACTCAAAACCTTTCAGGAGATAGCCACAAAATTGATTTCTATTTGATTTCCTCTTTTGTCAAGAATTAATTTTGTCTGGTTAACCTTGTTGTTGGACCAAGTTACATTGATTTATATTGAGAAATAGGAGTGGTGAAATCTCATTAAAAAGCCAAATGTGCTACTTTGCCCTTAGATCTTTTTAAGAAGTAGTGTTGGGGGGCCAGCTCCGTGGCCGAGTGGTTAAGTTCGCATGCTCCACTATGGCGGCCCAGGGTTCGGATCCTGGGCGCGGACATGGCACCGTTCGTCAGGCCACGTTGAGGCAGCGTCCCACATCCCACAACTGGAAGGACCTGCAACTAAGATATACAACGGTGTCCCGGCGGGGTTTGGGGAGATAAAGCAGAGGAAAAAAAAAAAAACAGATTGGCAACAGTTGTTAGCCCAGGTGCCAATCCTTAAAAAAAAAAAAAAAAAAAGTAGTGTTGGTTTTAGAATGCACGTTTACATCAGTAATATTTCATCAAAACTGGAGGAGTCACTGCTCTGCAAATTGATATATAAATTTGATGCAGCTCTACTCGTAATCTCAGCATGCTTTGCTGTAGAAATTTGCAAGCTGATTCTAAAATTTGTATAGAAATTAAGAGGACCTAGGCTATCTAAAAGAATCTTGAAAATAAGAAGCATATTTCTGTGCTGGAAGAAAATTTCTTGAGTTCTCTTATAAATTAGGTAAGACAAGATTTTACACATTGGACTTGCATAAAACTTAAATATATACATGTAATACAGCGAGCCATCTAAACCATCTAAGTCAAATTCATCTTTCAACCTGGTGGCCGACTAAAGATGAATTTTAATTACCTGCTGCCAATGTGCAAAGCGGTCTAACTGCAGGCCACAGGGTGATGGTTGTATATTTTTCCCTGTCCTCTTCTCACTCCTGACACGCCCACCCCCCCGACCCCCTTACTTGTAGGGGCCTTAAGCTTTTTCCTTTACAGCAATTTCTTGTCATTCTTCTTACCGCTTCGTTTATGCTGTGGATGTTATTCTTAGAAACTTTGAGAGCAGTGTATTTGAGTGTGCAATTAGGAACATTGTGCATTTATGTGTAACAAAACTTAAAACCATGGCTTTAATCAAAAAGTCTAGTTTAGAGTCAGAGGAGTTTTTATAGAGACTGAGCTCTTGTGTCTTTTGCATTAATGCTGCATCAGCAAAGATGTCTCCTTGTCTGGGGAGAGATGGCAGAGCCAGGCCCTAGAAGTCCTTGGCAGGTTTCTCTGCCTCCAACTTTTGAACATTTCCCAAAACCCATTTTCCCACAGTCTGCTTTGAACTCATATTTAATACCCTCTCATCTAGGAGATTTTCATGTCAGTTGTATTCTGAGACCCAGTAGCGCAAATCCATTTCTCCACATGAGTCCTTTAAATAAGACTCTCTGTTCCTCCCTCTCTAGCCAAGATCTGAAATCTTGTTCTCCTGTTTTTTTAAATACCATCTTCCAGTTGGTCACCAAGCCCTTTTGATTAATTATTATTTATTTAGAAGTGGTTTCTGTTTATTCTTCTGTATTTCCCTGGAACCACCCTAATCCCAGCAGTAAGACATATCAATATCAGCTATTGATTGTGATTCCTATTGCAGCTTTCATTTTAGGCATTTTTTAGTGATTATTTACCTTTTAAATGTTTCATCTAACACACTTTCTCTTTAGATCTTTTGTTATAGTATACCAGCCAAGGAATAGTAATGTGCATAATTTAAGGACCTTTGACAGGGTATATGTATCTGGGTCAGGACAGGTTAGTTTTTCCAGTCTAATTTCCCTGGAAATATGGCAGGGAATTTTGGATTCTGGTTTCCCCCGCCCAGACACGCAAACACAATATAAGGTGGTGACCCCTTACTTTAGTTGGACAGAACTTCTTATCTTATTCCTCAGATAAGCAGTTAATTAGCTGATATAATATGATCCCCTGGAAAAGATACAATGAAGTTCTTTACCATTATTTCCTAAGGGACAATTGCTTTTTGGATAATTAATTTTAAGTTATGTTCTTTTAAAAGGATATAACCCTATTATGGGTTAAATTGTGTTCCCCTATAATTCTTATGTGTTTGTCCTAACCTCTAGTACCTCAGAATGCGACTTTTTTTGGAGATAGGGTCTTTGTAGAGGTAATCAAGTTAAAATGAAGTCATCAGAGTGGGCCCTAATCCAGTATGACTGATGTCCTTATAAAAGAGGGGAAATTTGGGCTGGCCCCGTGGCCGAGTGGTTAAGTTCGCACGCTCCGCTGCAGGAGGCACAGTGTTTCGTTAGTTCGAATCCTGGGCGCGGACATGACACTGCTCATCAGACCACGCTGAGGCAGCGTCCCACATGCCACAACTAGAAGAACCCACAACGAAGAACAACGAAGAATACACAACTATGTACCGGGGGGGCTTTGGGGAGAAAAAGGAAAAAAATAAAATCTTTAAAAAAAAAAAAAAAAGAGGGGAAATTTGGAGACAGACATGCACACAGGGAGAGTGCCATGTGAGCTTGCAGATGGCCTTCTACAAGCCAAGGAGAGAGGCCTGGAACAGGTCCGTCCCGTCACAGCCCTCAGAAGGAGCCAGCTCTACCAACACCTTGACTTCATACTTCTCCCCTCGATACAATTGGTTGTGATACAATAAATTCTGTTGCTTAAGCCACCCAGTTTGCAGTCACAACAGCCCTGGGAAACTAATACAATCATTTTTGAAATTCCTTAATTACTCTTAATGAGAATTCCTCTCACATTCTGGTTGACTGTCAGTTCTTGATTTTTGCAAGGTTGTGGGGATTTGTTTTTTCCTGAATCTGTAATTATTTTACTTCTGGAGAAGCTAGCTAAGAGATCTGTGAGTTTTCTAATGATGTCAGCTTTACCTTTTTCATGTTATGGACAATTATTTTCACTTTTTTTCTTTTTCTTCTTCTCCCCAAAGCCCCCCAGTACATAGTTGTATATTCTAGTTGTAGGTCCTTCTTGTTGTGGTGTGTGGGACGCTGCCTCAGCACAGCTTGACGAGTGGTACTAGATCCGTGCCCAGGATCCGAACTGGCGAAGCCCTGGGCCGCTGCAGTGGAGTGTGCCAACTTAACCACTCGGCCACAGGGCTGGCCTCCTATTTTCACTTGTTTTAAGGGCTATGAAATGCATTATTCTTCCAGGTTTCCTTGAGTTGCTTGTCACTTCAACACCAGAGTGTTCTTTCCTGTTGCATCAGAGCAGGCACATCTCCCTATAGTATGTATTCCTTAGTCTTTAATGTATATATTTGCATTCTCTTTAAGCTACACAGTATGTGTTGAATACAAGTCCTCAAGTATCTAGAGAAGTGGTGTTCTTTCCAGATCTCACCACATTGTGTTCAATAATGTGAGTTTATTTAATTGAGAGAAATCTTTGCATGATATAACTTAAAATTAAATGGTGTTGCCATGGAAAAATGAACTCCTTCCAGATTCTCTTTTTGAGAAAGTCATTGTTGGATATGTTATTCAGCCAGGAACATACTATACCAAATTTATTAAAATTGGTTCATTGCTTTGTTTCATTTTCTGATGTCAAGTAGGAATATGGAAATAATTGTTAGAGTCATGATAGTTTATGAAATGGTGAACATGATACATATAGGGTTTTATTAATAGGAAGTGAACTTGGAATTTTTTCTTTTAATGCACACCTTTTACTTGTAGCAAAAAGATGAAGTTTTTTGGAAAATAAACTGATGAAAGCCATTTATTCTAACAAAAAATGAAAGGTGTAATATAGACTGTTTTTAGTAAACATTCCAATGTCATTTGTAATTTTTTAATTTTATTAAAAAAAATTTTTTTTTTTGAGAAAGACTAGCCCTGAGCTAACATCTGCTGCCAATCCTCTTTTTGCTGAGGAAGCCTGGCCCTGAGCTAACATCTGTGCCCATCTTCCTCTACTTTATATGTGGGACGCCTGCCACAGCATGGCTTGCCAAGCGGTGCCATGTCCGCACCCGGGATCCAAACCGGCAAACCCTGGGCCACCGAGGTGGAACATGCAAACGTAACCGCTGTGCCGCTAGGCTGGCTCCTCATTTGTAATTTTTTACTTGCCTCATTTGCTTTCTAGTGACCATATCTTTCTTTCTTGGCTTCTTTTTTTTAAGTGATTATAGTTTTAGTTTTTATTTATTTGGTTAGAGAGTGTAGGTAGTGGTTTAAAGAAAAGACTTTTGCTAAAACAAGTGGCAGTAACACCGTGGCTATCACTCTGATTTCTTTCGTAGAAAGTGGGTATTCCTTTAAGTGTTTCTGAAAAATTTTTAGGACAGTCTAAGCATTCTAAAGAGTCTATCATTATACACAAATCATTTGTTGGCACTTAAAAATCTTGGGCAGAAAAAAATCACTACAGAGACCATTTCTGACAAGCCTATAGGTGACCCTGTAGTGTCTGATAAGATCTGGCAGAGTCTTCTGTCTTCTAGGGAGCCCTCTTTGATTATTCCAGTCTTCATTTCTCTCTAAGTTCTCTGAACTAGTATTTTAGTCTTTAACCACACAGTTTATAACACTTAAATCTAGTTATTTCACCAACTTGACCTTAATTTTGTCATATGAAGGAATAATTCCTTATATTTGTGCTTTCCTGCAAAAGGTGGACTCCAGTATACACTGACTAATTGGTTATTCATCTCGAATTTAAATCCGTTTACCAGAACTAAAGTTTTATTATGCAAAATTGGGTTTAGAGAGAAATTCTTTTTCCCTCAAGTTTCAGAGTTTACAACAAAAGACATTTATGACCTTGAGACATAATAGGTTTGTATTGAATATGGTTGAATGAGTTTCTCACTGAGTATACTCTTTTCAGTGCTTAGCACACTGTGAAACAACACTGAGTTTTTCTTGGACATTGCTATTTATTACTGCTTTGGAGACTTAACAAGATTTGGAGACCTCACGTGTCGTTGGTAGCATAGCAGAATGATCACAGGTTCTGAAGTCAAACTGCCTGGGTTCTGATTAGGGCTCCATTACTTTATTTTTCATTTTGTGCCTCTTTTTTTTTTTTTTAAAGATTTTATTTTTTCCTTTTTCTCCCCAAAGCCCCCCGGTACATAGTTGTGTATTCTTCGTTGTGGGTTCTTCTAGTTGTGGCATGTGGGACGCTGCCTCAGCGTGGTCTGATGAGCAGTGCCATGTCCGCGCCCAGGATCCGAACCAACGAAACACTGGGCCGCTTGCAGCGGAGCGCACGAACTTAACCACTTGGCCACGGGGCCAGCCCCTCATTTTGTGCCTCTTAATGGCTCACTGTCTTTATCTGTGGAAGAGGAGTGATTGTATGATTTGTTGTGAGGATTAATTGAGATTTTAGTTAGATTTTATATATATGAAAAATGAGACTTTTTGAGGGGCCAGCCCAGTGGTGAGGAGGTTGAGTTTGCGCACTCCACTTGGGTGGCCTGGGGTTTGGATCCTGGGCGTGGACCTGCACATCGTTCATCAAGCCATGCTGTGGTACATCCTGTGGAGGAAGATTGGCATGGACGTTAGTTCAGTGACAATCTTCCTCAAGCAAAAAGAGGAAGATTGGCAACAGATGTTAGCTCAGGGCCAATCTTCCTCGCCAAAAAAAAAAAGAGAGAGAGAAAGAGATTTTTATATATTTTTATATATGTGTATATGTATTATGTATATAAAATATGTATATAATGGTGAAGAATTCTTGGCACTTAGGAAATTCAAGTTGACTTCATAAGAAAAATGTGTAATATGTTTTAAAAGGAAATATTGTAATAACTGACATTATTCTTATAACATTTCCAGGTTTGAAAAAACAATGGCAGGAAACAGCCTTGTTCTACCCATCGTTCTTTGGGGTCGCAAAGCCCCAACACACTGCATCTCAGCAGTTCTTTTAACAGATGATGGGACCACAATTGTAACTGGATGCCACGATGGACAAATATGTCTCTGGGATCTTTCAGTAGAATTGGAAGTGAGTATTCAAAATGCCCGTTATACTTTTCAAATACAAGAAACCACTTAATAGAAAATAGCAGCCCCAGAATAATACTCTGCGTGATAATATGTTTTCTACAATAGACATTTTGATGAGAATTGGTATTAGGCAGATTGGTTACTTACATTGTTCATCAGAGTTGACTTCTGCTGGCTTTTGGCGATTTTCAGTTATAATATCTGCCTTAAGTGGCTTAATAGTTACATTTAAGTTTTCAGAAGATCTTTATCTATACTGAAGGGGGTTTCCAAAAGATATAAAAAACCAATTTGAACATTTGTACCTTCTAAGGTGAGTATCTTGAAGAGAGCAAAACTTTTTATAAAACATAAATTTTCTTGTATTTATTTTAAAAATCACTATGTATTTATGGCCATTCTTAAATGCAGTGGAGCCCTCAGTGTGCTCTGTTCATAGGCCCTCTCAGTGGAAGACAAGAAAATAGTAGTTGGGAATACCCATATAAACACACACACACGCATGTGCGCACACATACACCCACCCACGCACATGCATGGAGTTCACACTGATACCTCCAATTATGGTATAACACCTCAGAATTTTTTCTGCTTTTGTCTTTCTCCTTTTTTTTTTGGTGAGGAAGGTTGGCCCTGAACTAACCTCTGTTGCCAATCTTCCTCTTTTTGCTTGAGGAAGATTGTCCCTGAGCTAACATCTGTGCCAGTCTTCCTCTACTTTTTCTGGGTGAGATGCTGTCACAGCATGGCTTGATGAGCGGTGTCTAGGTCTGCACCCAGGATCCGAACCTGTGAACCCCAGGCCTCCGAAGTGAAGTGTGCAAACTTTACCACTATGTCACCAGGCTGGCTCTTCTCCATGTTTTTAACTTCCCTTCTCTGTCCCCAGGAATTTTTCTGTAAAGGGGAGCAGAGGAAATGGGGTGGTAGCTGGCATGGAATGTAGACTCAGGAAAGTTGAGTTTTTAAGTAATTTTTTTTTTTGTTAACACCCTTATTGAAATAAAATTCTCATACCAAACAATTCACTCATTTAAAGAAATTGTGGTATATATGTATACAATGGAATATTGTTCAGCCATAAAAAGAATGAAATCTTGCCATTTGTGACAGCATGAATGGACCTTGAGGGCATTATGCTCAGTGAAATAATCCAGCCAGAGAAAGACAAATACTATATAATCTCTCTTATATGTGGAATCTAAAAAAATATCTATTAGAAACAAAAGAGAAGTTCATAGATAGAGAGAATAGATTGGTGGTTTCCAGAGGTGGGGGTTGAGGGGTGCAAGAAATGGGTGAACTGTTTTTATGGGGTTTTTTTAGTTTAAATAAATTGAATTTAAAAAAATAAAGTGTACAATTAGCGATCTTTAGTATGTTCACAGGGTTGTGCAACCGTTACCACCGTCAACTTTAGAACATTTTCATTACTTCAAAAAGAAGCTCTGTGCTCTTTACCTGTCACTCCCATTACCCCTATTTCCCGTGAGGCAACCACTAATCTATTTTCTGTCTCTGTAGGCTTGCCTGTTGTGGACATTTCATACACATGGAATCATTTAATGTGTGCTTTGTTTGTGACTGACTTTTTTCACTTAGCATAATATTTTCAGGGTTCATCCATGTTGTAGCATATATTAATACTTCATTTCTTTTAATGGCCAAATGATATTCCATTGTATGGGTATACTGAATTTTATTTGTCTATCAGTTGATGGGCATTTGGGTCATTTCCGCTTTTGGCTACACTGAGTAATGCTGCTGTGAACGTTTGTGTATGAGTTTTTGTGTGGACGTGTGTTTTCATTGCTCTTAGATATACACCTAGGCATGGAATTACTAGAACTGGAAAAATGATTTACACACTTGGATGTCACGTAAAGGCTAAGTATGCAGATTGGAAAGTAACTGGAAATGAGTGTTGTAGAATGTGATACGCCTTCAGGATTGATAGCAAACTAAATATGAATCAGGAATATAGTGATGAGAAAAAAATCACACTACATTTTACTGGAATGGTTGCAAGCAGTAAGACTGACTTTTGAAATCTTAGAAACAGTTCTTTCATTGAATTTTTTTGCATATATTTCACTAGAATGTTATATTTATTTAAGTTCAAGTAAGAGGGATAAAAGTGACTGAGGGGGATGTGAGAGGTGGGGAGGGGCTAGGAGAGAAATGCATCATTTGAAAGATATTCAGGGAGTTGTACTGTTTACCCAGGGGAAAAGAAGGCTGGATAAAGGTGGCTTGGTTGTTGTCTTTTGACATACAGTCATCTCTCAGTATTCATGGGGGATCGGCTCCAGGATCCCCTGTGGATGCCCAAATCTGCAGATGCTCAAGTCCCTCGTAGAAAATCGTGTAGTATTTGCAAATAATGTACGCACATCTTCCTATATGCTTTAAATCATCTCTAGATTACTTATAATACCTAATGCAATGTAAATAGTTGTTATACTGTATTGTTCAGGGAATAATGACAAGAAAAAAAGTCTGTACATGTTCAGTAAAGACACTACCATTGTGGGCCTTTCAATCTGCAGTTGGTTGAACCCGCGGCTGCAGAGCCCATGGGTGCAGAGCCCGCAAGTGCTCTTCTTAAGTATTATATTTTCTAGCAGCTGCTAATGCCTTTGAAGGACCAGTAAGAAGACATGTAATATTCACAGAGGAGGCACAAAGTGCCTTTTCTTGAGGTCATGGTATCTTCCATTCTTTTGCTAGGAAAGGACTCAAAACTCTAGCTAGAACTTTTGCCATCTGTATTTGATCTCCTTTTACCTGTGAAAAAGGGCACTCTGGCCTAACATAGTGGTAATCAAACAGGAGAGAAATCACAGAAGCAGTAGTTTAGTGAATACTGAAAGAGTTGGTGATAAGAGTAAAGGGGGAAACCTGTTGAGGGAGATACTGTCGCTGATATGCAATATTTGTAGAGCTTCCACTGCCTAAAAACCTACAGGAGGTTATTAGACTGGTTCCTATCTTCATGAAGCTTGCATTCTAGTAGGGAAACAGATCTATGCAGAGAATAGTATAGTCCATGGCATTAATGAAAAACGTAAATTGTTAGGTAAGAGCTCAGCCTTTGGAGAATGGCAACCTTGTCTTGAATCTGGGTCATTCTAGTATCTAGCTGTGTGACTTTGGGCAATTTACTTAACCATTTTGTGCCTGAGTCTTTCCGTGTTTAAAATATGGACTACCACACAACGTTGTGGTAAGGATTCTATGAAGGCATGTGTAGTAAGCAGTTATCACAGTGCTTGCACCTAGTAAGAATTTATTTAATGAATGGTAATTACAGCATCTCAGGTAGTAGAAAGAAAAAAAAAGCTAACAGGGAGGAAAAAAAAGGAGTGCTTAATCATGGCTGACTATAGACCCAGCTAGCCTCAAGGTTCTGGACTGGTCATTGGTGTTACTGTTTACTCTTAAGAACTGACACATCACAACTTTTTATTCTAATCATCTTGCTTTGTCACTGATAACTTGATAACAGTCACTTTTGAACTGTGTGGTCTTTGAGGATGGATAGTCTTTATGAATTGGTTGAACAGATTATTTTGTGATATTTCTTTGTATTGATTATGTGTGAAATGTTTAGTTAGTAACTATGACCATACGTTTTTATGGAATATAGTGAGATATAAATAAAAGGTATAAATATGTTACACCATAAATTTATTTTTTCCTCTGATTATATTGTTACTTATTTGCTCTGTAAGGTTCTTTTCTTTTTTTAAGATTTTATTTTTCCTTTTTCTGCCCAAAGCCCCCCGGTACATAGTTGTGCATTTTTAGTTGTGGGTCCTTCTAGTTGTGGCATGTGGGATGCCACCTCAGCATGGCCTGATGAGCAGTGCCATGTCCATGCCCAGGATTCAAACTGGCGAAACCCTGGGCTGCCGAAGCAGAGCGAGCAAACTTAACTACTTGGCCATGGGGAAGGCCCTGTAAGTTTCTTGATATTAAGACTTTGTAGTTGTGATCTGGCACTGATACTAGGCACAGATGTATTTTTGGATGGTTATCTCTGTATCATGGTTAATCTTCCTCTGTCACTTAGTGGCCATTCAGAGCAATTGCTTAAAGCTGTCTTTTTTTTGTTTTCTGTAACCTCCAGAAAACTTCTATTTAATGAATTAAATGAGTTTCTGTTTGTTAAAGAAACACATCGATTTATGAAAATATTATCTTAAACCTTTCTACTTTTTAGCTGACTTTGTACCTATGAAAACATAATCAGAGATATAGTTTCATTTACAGAATTTTTTGCTGTCATCTGACAATGGATGCCAGAGCCATATATGTTTTATTTAACAATTGTTCATTGCCAATGTTTAGAAATACAATTGCTTTTTAGTATTTTGACTTGTGTATTCTGACTGTGCTATATTCACTTTATGTTCCGATAGGGTTTTTTTCTAGATTCTGTAGGATTTTCTTTATATCTGATTATGTTGTCTGTGAATAAAGGTAGTTTTACTTCTTACTTTACAGCATGTATGTGATTTATTACTTTCTTTTGCCCTGTGGTAGGCTGTTACTTGCCTTATTGCTTATTAAGACTTCTAACACAATGGTGAATCTTGAAGAAAATGGACATCCTTGCCATGTTCATGATCTTGAAGGGAACACATTCAGTCTTTCACCATTGTGTGATGGTAGCATTAGGTTTTTCATAGATGCCCTTTGTCAGGTTAAGTAACTTCCCTTTCATTCTTAGTTTGCTGACAGTTTGTGTAATGAATGATTTTGAATTTTGTAAAATGCTTTTTCTGTATGTTTCAAGATGATCATATGGTTTTTCTCCTTTTTTCTCTTGATGTGGTGAATTACATTGTTTTTCAAATGTTAAATTAACCTTGTATTCCCAGGGTAAGCCCCACATGGTCATGATATATTATTTTATATATTGGTGGATTTGGTTTGTTAATATATTATTGTTTTTTGTTTTGTTTTGTCTTGGTTCATGAGTTTTATTGGTCT